CCAGTCTTCGTGTACGACGACGATCAATGCGACGACAAAGGCAGGCGCGAGGAGGCTGCTTCGCCGACGGATATTGTGTCCGATGCGATTGGGAATTTGCTCGCGAATACAGTCGATGTGAGGGCCCGTTTCGCGTTGACATCTCCGAATTCGACAAAGAACATGATTACGGGGCATTGTACCACGGTCCACCAATTTTCGATGAAGAGCCTTCGAGGTCCGAGGTGACGCTTTCTGATTTTGGCTTGTGTAAGCCACTGAAAAAATATTCATCCATGTTATTGGAGGTTGTTAATTTTATTGCTCCGTATTCTAAAAATGAGCGCCACGGGCATTCGGGCACAAAGACTGCCATTGGTTAATGGCGAAAGAACAGTTACAACAGTGGAAACGCAATCATCGTGCATTGGCATATTCTACAGTGGGGACACTTGATTATTTGGTGCTATAGGTTTTTTTAAAGAAAGGATGACATGTCGCAAGATAATAAATTGGAGAACATGTTTGAAGTTCCTTGAGAAACCAAGAATGTCTTATGAGCCTAAGGATTTGATCCTCCATTTGTTATGTGAGGTTGAGCGACATTCAACTTTCGTGTTCGACCGGGGGAACCGATGGGAGTTTCCTACTATGAGTTCGACACCACACACTGGCCACGGGAGCACATCGACTTCGAGGCAAAACCTTCCGAACTGGGGGAGAATGGTGTAGATTATTATTATTATTATTATTATTATTATTATTATTATTATTATTATTATTATTATTATTTAAAAGGTCTCTTGGAAAATAAGTTAGGATTTTAATATTAATGTTTAATATTTAGTAAGAGATCTTGTCTTGTTGGACAAGTTAAGGTCTAGGGTGGAGCCTCATATAAATGACTCCCTCTAGTTTAGTTTCCTTAATTGATTTTGAATGAAAATATGAATTGATATATTGTTTTGGTGTTCATGAGATTGTGATCTCATTAATATCGTCCCACTCGTACGCTTCGTACATCATACGGTCGCAGCTGTTGACCAGGAGCCTGTGGTCACCTTCTTTCGGAGTCTCTTTTTCCGACCGCGGGCCTCGTGGAAGCTTCAGGTGCAGAGATCGCCGCCGGCTTTGGATTTGCCGCTCACCTTCCCATATTGATGGTAACTTCGGAAGAGGAAAATCGGCTGTGTCTGGTTAGCTTTGTCTCTTTACCACCGACGCCTTAGCCAGATTCTACCTCCCCATGGCCGGCCATTATTGGAGTATACTGTAGAAGCTCGGTTGTGTGATTACACCCAATTCCGTTTTGAATGAGTTGAGTGGATTTTGGTCAAGTTAGTGTTTGTAGTTTATTTAGTTTTGCAAACATAGTTTTTTTTTTTTTTTTTTTTTTTTTTTTTTTTTTTTTTTTTTTTTTTTTACATTGTAGGAAATGTGATTCGATGTGTTGAACAGAAAGATCATATTACCGGTACCTTGTGAAATATAAATAATTAATTAACAGTCTTGACAAAATTGAACAACTTGTTGGTAAAAACACTGTATTGTGATTTTGATTCAGTTGGTCTTTAACTGTGGATTACACTAGTATTCCTAAGTATTGAATGGACATACAGAAGGATAAGATTATTAGAATACTAAACAAGTATATAATCTAAACCTCAGTAATTCTAACTTTGAAAATTTCTAACCTTGAAAAATTTTGCAAGTCTACATAATCATAGACCTACTCTAATACTAACACCCGTTTATTTATTTTAAGAAAAGACTAGATTTTATGGAGATAATTTGAACTTTTAGAAAATATTTTTAAAAAACTACTATTCGGGCATTACTCAAAACTCTTTTCTTTCATCCTTTTGAAACATAACCACATTTTCGATTATCTAAACATAGTTTGAAATTATTCAAGTCTAATACATTCAACCACAATAGTTTTCACAAATAGTTTGCGGAAACATAAGAGTACAAGTAAATGATGACCAAGCCCCGTCCTCTCGCGTCCGATGTCAGCTGCTAAACCTGAAAAACAATGGGGTGAGCACATTCTCTAGACTCAGTAGTAAAATCCATACTACGCATCAATTTAGAATAATGACAGATAGGATAATAATCATATGAACATGCATCTACTATCTCACTACTATACTGATAACACCCGACTTAAAGCATCCAGATAGATTCGAACTAGTGACTCTTATTTCTAGCCTCCAAAACCTACCCGCCTTTTGACTATTACGCCGTTAACCTATGTTTATGAATTGTTGGTATGGTTACTTACTAGTATCATCGACATCAACCGGTCCCCCTAATAAGTAATTCTACTAGTTCCGTCGACATCAACCGGTACCACTAGTAACTGCTTACTTGGTCCATTGGCCCACAAACATATTCATATAAAAACTATACTACCACATGGTTATACAGAATAAACTATAGTAGAGAACCCCCACTTGGTAAATGATGATGTGATGAAAAATACAGATGAAGAATAGCTTATGTCACTCATAAAAACTCTCGAGGCTCGACTCCTCGAGATGTACATTTACGCATAAAACTTTCATAAACAATTTATCATATTCTTGGTAAATTGAATTATCTGACTTAAAGAAATTATTTAGCTTAAGACCCTTGACTTAGAAAAATCATTTTAATATTAAAACTCTCGGCTAAGGCTAATTTATAGTTGGGGAAAATATTTTTGGAACAAAAATCGAGGTTTAGCTTGCAAATATGGTCAAGGCTCGAAATGGCTCGAGACACTCAGCTCGGTGCGGCTGGGCTGTCGCTGGCTCGGGTTGACCGCTGCTGGCACGGTCACCTGGGCGCGCCCTACTCGACACATGCCCGACGCTGT